ACGTCAGGAAGAAATTCCGATAGACTACGGCTTCAAAGCCCGGAAAACATTCCTAAATGTAATCTGACCGGCCGTGAAAGCCTTCATAGTATCTATTCAATGTGTGTGAATTATTTACTGAATATTAAAGTGTGTAAAGAATACTTTTATTACTATGAGGAGTACGAAGCAGTGAGCAATTTGAAAAGTGAGCACTTTGCCTTCTAATTTCACTATTGGGCCACTTTATCTATCGATAATTTAGTTTTTAAACAAACTTTTTATTTAAATCACAATAGCAATGATACAGTTAGATGTTATCTCAAAAATTCTAATGCTTGATATACGTTTTCATACGGTATCCAAAACCTACTCGATATTTGAGACGCCATATACATTTTCAGATTTCCCTATGGATCCCATATTGTCCAAACTTCGGTTGGTTTAACTGTTATAGTGTACAATTTTAAAGAATGCAATCGTTCATTTTAAAGGTATTTTTCGCCATATACGTCATATACGCCATATGTATTTTCAGATTTCCCTATGGATCCCATGTTGCTGTGTCTTTTCCTATTTGAAATTCCCGAAAACTTTCATTTCTATACATGAAAGGAACTTAGGTTGGTTTAAGTTTTATAGTGTACAATTTGAAGGAATGCAATCGTTCATTTTAACGGTATTTTTCAAGCAAACTTGTGGGTGCCAACGAACGGGTGTAAAGATCAAAGTAAATTATCTGCATTTGACTTTTAAATATAATTTAGGAAGTTCGATCAATGCATTTATCAATTATGAACTACCGGCCATATCTGGCGAGCAATCAAATCTAGAAATAAAATATCCTGATGTTCATCCCCCTTCAACTTAGATTATTTGCCTTTCAGCTCAGAGAAGAAACGAACTAGAATTAAGTAAATTTGGAACTATGATTTGCATTTTAGAAGGCATTTACTGCACCATTGTAAAATGTAGAGGAAAGTGCAATTATAATCTTAAACTTCTATCGCTGTAAATAATCACTTATTTGTCCCACATGTCTGGCAACGGACAAAAATACCAAATTTGCATTAAGAAACTAGYGAGGTCTCAACTGCATAYACTTTCTTGTTAGTTGAAACCACCATTAAAMATTCTACAGTTTAGCTCAATTATCCCMCTCTSCATCTTTCACGAGGAMTCAATGTTGTGGATTTATTTTGGGACATTGGGGACTATACAATATATCTTTTATTAATTTAATTAGTGTTTTCATTTTCAAATGCATTTGATATTGTGTAAAGTTACTGCAGACATAAAGTAGCTTCCTTTAGATTTTCGAATTGATAATTTTTGAGAATTAAAAGCTTTGTAATAACATAAATAACATAGATTAGTAGACTACTTAGTATTCTACTAATCTCTGGTAATAACACCTAAGCTGAATATTTCCCTAAATAATAATATAAAACAATTGTCAGCCATCATATTCAGCATTGCTAATCTATGCTTTGATACAAACTACATTCGAATTTATCAAACATAAAAACTTGGATGCGGCACTTTGCCCAATCTATTCAATTCATTAGTTTTTACGGTTCTTAATCCTCAAATTATCCATCTTTCCTATCCAATACCTTCTGTACAACAATTAAATTTCTTTTGAACAAAGTAGTTTTAGGAAGATTTTTCTCTTTCTCGGAGCGAAATTAGAGTACTCTAACTCACAAGGTGGCAAATTTAGTAAAAAAGTATTTTCTCAGTAAAGCTTTTACAGAAATTTAGCAAATTGTGGAAAATAATATATTAGGAGACTCTGGAAAAAACAAGATCAACAGAAGACAAAAGCAAACTCGTTAAAATCAAACAGGATCCTTCAGCTACTGAAAGAAACGTTAGAACAATACAAGAATGACGGCCTATAAAATTATGCAAAAATCCAGAAATATTTAAAAAGTTCTTAAAAAGCTGTGGAATCAACATACTAGTCACTATGGCATGCGATTAAGAAATAACACGCGATTAAACTGAGCGCGAAACGACAGAAAGTATAAATTTTCGCAGAATGCCAGAATGAAAATATATTTGCATTTCTCTACTACAGCTGGAATTTGCCTCATCACAAAATAAAATTAGCTGAACTAATGAAAACAATTGAACTAAAAGAAACCTTAGAAAAGCACCAGAATACGCTCCAATCAACGAAAAACGTTAACTAAGTAAAGCTTCTATGAATTGCTACAAATCAATCTACATTTTTGATACAATACKGCWAAACAACTATTTTCTTTCCGAATAGCTGAAAAWTAACAGAACCCATGATGATCTTCAAACGAAAGAAAAAACCGGASGGAACGCCATCATTACTGGATGATCATAAACTTAAACCAAAAAATAAATTCGGCTTTCCGCCAAAGTTCYTTTTTKTGTACAGTGTTGGGTCCAGTGTTATATTCAATTTACAATGTAAACATTTCCTCATCTAACAGGGTTCTGTTAGTTACATAAGCAGATGATAATATGTCTATTGTGGCACCTCATGCAAGCTCGAGGATTCCGAGAAATCGACAAATAAACTTGGACGGCAGCCAAAAGTGGTTCTAGAGCATACGCACCCAATTTTCACCAATAGAAAATGAAGATGTTTAACAATAACCAACTATTACTGATCTGAAGAGTAAACTTAGTGGAAACACTGTTTCTACGCACACACACAAGAGAAAATAGTTCGGACATATTTATATTCTGGATTATCGGCCGGAAGTCCTAAATGACTGTAAAAAACTAGGTTTGGGTGCAGCGGGTCAATCTCAATTTGAAATTCTTTCAAGAACATGCTGTGCTTACGTACAATCTGTTTGATTAATTTACTTGACTCATATTTGTAATTTGTTCATTTAAAACATTGAAGATTATTTTTCGTTCAATGTTAAATAGAAATAACACTTTTACCGGATGTTTTAGTAAAAACAACTAAAATGTATTTTTTTGTTTCAGGACAATAATTTTAGGAGTGATATTCGTCGTAGTAGAATATGACAGAAGTGTTCATTGCGTCCTACTATTATGGGGTCTCGTAGTAGGATATCTGGCCATATTACTGCTGTCCATGATAATAGAAGTAGCTGTATGCGTGGTAGCTTTACGGGGAAGTATTCTGGAAACTGGCCCGAGAAGTTCGATGCAGTATATTCTGTACATAAGACTGTGTAAGTATATTATAATTAACTTTCACTTAGTACAATCATTTACGCGATTTTATATTAAGCAGTCTGTGAATTTTTACATGTTATACAAATAATGTTACTAATTTAAAGATGCATTATCCTGTTTAGTTGTCCCTGATTTTAAGTGAGTTTATTAATGCTACTTTTTTGGGAAAGCTCATTGGGCCATTTGTCGCATCTAATACGCTGAGACAAATGGAAGGAACAATTCCGCAGGCGTTTTATGGTCACTTGAGCCGGGTTTAACTGCTCTTCGTCCATATCGTTTCTTAATGGGCCAATCTATTATATAACTCATTTGCCTGCACTTAATTTGGACGGGATTGAATTTAATCATCTCTCTAGAATAATGTTTATTACATTCTCAGTCATTATTTATTTCGGAAAGCCTGCAGATTCCACAGCTCACAAATTGCATGAATTATTTTCTTCATATAACGCTATAACGCATAATTTACGTGGTTTTGCGGACGCAGATTGCATTTGTGTACATTGTCCAGTCCAAAAAAACTTAAATGTTGGCATCAGTTCGAAGATTTAGACTCCGAAATGACATGTGCAAAAAATGTTTAATCTCTTTGAGTTGTACTGAAAAAAAAATCTACAGAACAAACGGAAAGTTTTATGAGACAAAACAAATACAAACAAAATGATCATCAATCAAAAATATTATTGCATAAGCTGTGTCAAATTCTTCTAATAGTCTCACTGTAATAAACTTATGTTGCCATCTTCATCCATCTAGTTCCAGAGTGCTTCTTCAGGTGATCCGCGCACCTCATTTGGGATTTTCCTCTACTTCTTTTCTTTTTGCCAGGGTCTCCAGTTTAGAATACGTGTTCTATTTTTCGTCTGATTTTGTGACCGGCGAATTTCCATTCTAATTTTTCTATCACTTTTCTCACACTCTTACTTTCGTTTTACTTCTTATCCACTCGTTTCTCTTTCTATCTATCAGTTTTACATATTCCTAACATTTGTCTTTCCATTGATCTTTGTGCTTTTGTTACTTTATCCATATTTTTCTGAGGCAAGTGTCCATGTTTGGGATCCATAGGTGAGAACAGGGTGTACCCATTGATTATATACTTTGGTTTTGAGGTATTATGGATATTTGCTATTTTTTAGGATGTAGGTCAATTTGGCGAATATTGCCCAACCCAATCTAACTCGTCCCTTGATTTCTGCTGCTTGGTTTCTTTGTTGAATTTAACAATTTGTTCCAGATCTATGTATTCATCAACTTGTTCTTTTTTGCTCTATTCTGATTGTGATGTTTTCATCAGAGTTCGTCATAGTTTTAGTTTTGACGTAGTTCATATTAAGACCTATATTTTTAACTGCTGTGTCCATTTCTTCCAGCATTCCCAGCTTTCCTGCCTGTTATCAAGGCGATATCATCCGCGTATCTTAGATTGTTCAGGTGTTGTTGTCCACATATTTTTATACCGTTTTCTGCCCAATCTAATTGAAAAATAGTCCGTAGGTCCTGATTAAATCTGAGCAAATTACTTGTTTTAGCTCCCTATGTTAATAAATTATTTTTTTAATCTCATTCGATCAAAATCGCTTTCTTGCATTTGTGATTTTCTATACTTCTATTACTGCCATATGTTGAAATTTCAGTATTACTAAATGTCTGGTAGTTTCGTTTTTATTTTTTTATGTTAACCTCGATAATTTGTTCAATTGGGTTTACTCTGGTGAACACTCTAACTATTTATTATTTTAACCAAAATGTTGATATTAAGTCTCTAAGGTTTGTAGAGATCTGGTTTCATCCTTTGCTTCCTTTGATTATATGTGGTCCAGATTGTGTGTCCATTTCTTATTCTTAAAAATTTCATATAGAATTATTCCTCTGAAGGAATCATTTGGATTCAACATAAGTAGCCGAAAAATATACTATAATTCCATGAAGACTTTCGTTCTAAAATTTGTTCAGTGGTTGGAGTCTGCAAAGCATTTGTATAATTTTTGTTTTAAGCAATCTGCTTTCATGTAGTCTGTCTTAATTTTCAGTATCTTCAGTTTCATTCAGTTTTTCCAAAAACTGTGATTCCACATTTCTTTTAATAAAATATGCGGGTGGTTTTTTAGCATTAGTTTAAATATATTAATCAATTATATTTGGGATGCCTTTTCACTTTTCTGTGCTTTGCATGTAGAAATTCGTTGTACGAATTGAATAGTTAGTTACTTCGCAGATGATCCTATTTTGTTGAATGATGTATGAAACCATGTGTGATCTATAGATGCGTCGTAGATTTCGTTTAGTTTTGCGACCATCGGCCATGATTTTTAGAAAGTCTTGTGCAATTTTCTGGTTAGGTAATAAAAGTTGATTTTTTAGCATATCTAGTTTGTCTCCTCAAAAAATTTGAGGTATTTATTGTGTCTATGTATACACCTTCAACCGCATTTAAAAACGTTTTATCGTGCGTTCTAAGTGCAGTGTGGTCCACAGCAATGCTTTCTTAATTTGAGATGAAATAAAATTACAGTGTGAATTAATTATAAATGTTTAGCTTATTCTGCGCGATTTAGAACCAACCACATGTTGGGAAGATTGTAAACCGGAGACAGCATAACACCCATTAATGCATTATACAGGGTGTCCCGTAAGCTCATGATCAAAAGGATATTGCGATATTCTTTGGACCAAAAGACGACGATCTGACCAAACTTTTATTAACCAAAAAAAGGTCTGGCTCCTCTGCTATTGATCGTCAAAATTCTTCAAAAAATTGATCTTTTTTGAAATATCGGGAGAATGGTACGATGTATTTTAGTGAAACCCGCGGTGAATTTGTTCTTATGTAAGACTCATATTTTAATGAAACAATCGAGTTCAGCCGTTTTCGACAAGTGGTGAATTCTTGAGTGTCGGGGTACAAAAACTACCAGAACGTTTTAGTTGGAAGATGAAATCAATTCTTTTTCTTTTTTAGGTTGATGCACTAATCATTTGTTCACAATTTTGTGCTCTTAGTAAATTCTTGTAGCATTCATAGTTTTTGCGTAAAAAAAATGTGTCTTTTTATAGTCACTTAGCAATGCTAGACATTTACTGCAAATATCGTGATACGAGGCATAAAATCATTGTCAAACCATCAACCCCTTTAAATAAAGGTACCGTTTCTCTCTCAACTTAATGAATAAAATACAAATTTTTTACATAATTATTGTAGCAGAATACATTGCTAGACTGGTTTTTCAAAAGCTAAATCACCCAGCAGGCAGCGTGTCAATAATAAGCCATTAGTCGACTAATTACAGCATTATTTGTTCTTAGATGTTTTTATTGTTTCCCTCATAATACTTTTGTTTCCAGCTGTGATGATCATCGAAGCTGGTTGGTTAACCGCTGGAGTAGTGTGGTTGAGTAATTACTATGTCGACTGTCCAGTCGATAAGGCTAAAGAGACTGTTTTAGGTAAGTATTTTTTTAACAAAACTGCTTGGTTTATTTGACAAGAAAAATGAATGCTCTTGAACCACTAGAAAATTGCATCTGCAATTTCCATTTTAATTTTCCAAGAATAATGTTCTGTCTACAATTTTATTTCATTTATCATCCAACAGAATACGTAATTTTCCTTTAATCGTTATTCCGAAAGAGGGAAAAACCTGAAAACGGCCAATAACGATTTGCAGCCTGTCACTGAAAGATTATGTGTTTACTTGGTTGTGGTTTTAAAATTTAAATATTTTCATAGAAGGGGTAAGACGAAACTTTAATGGTTTGAGCGAAGATGGTTTTCCAATAAAATTGCGTTTGTCTTGATTTTGCTTTATTGTCTTATTTGGGTAGAAGCAATGGAAGTCCGTCATTGAGATAATACGAGCATAACAGGAAGCTATTTTTTGACCTAGTTTAAATGGTAAAATTAGACACTTAATAGAATTATCTTGAGTAACTATATCTTGGAATAATATTACTATGTTTACTAAAACTTGGGATTTTTCACTTATTGAACCGAGAAATTCAGTTCGTTTTCCTGAAATATTTGTCCCGTTTTATTTCTTCTGTACATCATTCATTTCCTTGCGGCTTTGCTCAAAAATTATTTTGCAAAATAATGACAAAATGTAACGAGCGTATGCGGATCCGAGAAGCTTTCCAAGATTCAAATTTAAAATGGAAAACATTTATAAGGCTGTCGGATGTCAATTTTCCTTGAAACACAATTTTACCGAAAAATTGAAGCAACAAAAGTGTCAAAAATAAAAAATACAAGTAATTAAAGAAACATACGAAGCTCATTAAATTAAAATTATCGGCGACATTCTGTTTACACGATTAAAGTGTTCTTTAGATGGACAATAAAATATACCGATATATACAAACAACATTAATTGGTTTTCATATCAATCTTTGTTTTTTATGTTAGAATTTTTAGTTAGAAGTTGTTTTTTAATATATTAGGTATTACTTTACTTTTGAAAAAAGTTGCCTGACTAATTGTTATTAAGTTTCATATTCTTTACTTCTATCGCCATTTGAATCAAAGGATAAAAATCTTCAAACTTATCGTTAGCTGTTTGCAAATTAGTTGCTTTTTAGTATACACTCATTTTATTGGTTTGCTTTGCCCCACTTAAAAATGTATTCAACCGTAGATATTTTTTATAGGTATAAAGCGTTCTTTTTTTCGAGCTCTTGTTCAGAATTTCCTTTATATTTTTGTCCGAATTTTTGTTCATTTACTTCTTTACTGCATTGAAATCACCCAATTAAAATATATCGTCCGCAGTTAATAACTGCGAACTAAAAGAATCATAGTATACTGGATAGTTTTTTTTAACTTTAACCATTTAAATATTTCGACGAAAGTGATCTTACAAAAAAATCTGTCGGATAGGTAGTTAACATCTGGAAGGTGGAAGTTTATTCGTGCCACAAAATCATTAGGTGTTCGCAAATGTCTCCTTTTTTAGTAAAAGGAAATTTATTGGCTGGCGTTTTTCTACTTAAATATTATTCTACCGTAGACATTTCTTTCAGCTTTATCACCCGTTTCTTTTCGATCATGAAACTGCCGCCTTTTTCAGAATTTTATCATTCTTTTTGTCCGTACAGTTTCATTAATTTACTTCTTTCCTGCATCGAAACTACTACATTAGAAGATATCGTCTGCACTTAATTGTGGGAACTAAAATATCTATAGTAAACCGGCATAGTTTTAAAAATCTTGAAACACGAAAATATTTTGATAGAGGGTGATCTGACAAAAACTGTTCCGCATAAGAAGTTAATCCTTGAAAGGTGGAAGTTTGTTCGTCTCACAACATCATTAGCTGTTCGCTAAGTCTTCTTTTTTGTACTGAAAAATTATTCAACCGTAGACATTTACTTTTTCAGTTTTAAAACATGCTTTTTTTGATCGCCAAACTGCCGACTGTCTTTTTCACAATTTCCTTAATTCGTTTTGTCTGTATTTTGTTTCGTTCATTACTGCATCGAAATTACTACATTAGAAACTATAGCCTACAGTTAATCATTGGGGACTGAAATATCTATCATAATTATACCGGATAGTTTTTTTTATCTTGAAACACTTATAGGAAAAGGTCTTACAAAAATGCTTCAAAAAAATTTATACCTGGAAGAGAGAAGTTTATTCGTGTTACATTAAAAGACATCCTTTCTACTTGCGGGCTAGAGAAAGACCATTGAAAAATTCAAATGGTAACCACAAAATTTGATGCAGATTACATCAAAAAGTAGAAATGTTTTATCTAAAAAACTTTGATCGTTTTATCACATAAAGTAATATGAATTTTAATACTGTATAAAGCGCTACGAGATTTAATGCAGTATTTTAATATGCATACCTAATACACGTGTCAATTCTACATTTAAAATAAAAATATATATTTATTATTGCTGCAGGGTGTTATGTAAAATTAAAAAATATGTATATTTTTACAAAAATTAATGTGTTATAAACCATTGTAGCTTTTCAATTAGGAGAAATTGAATGGATAATTGCGTTATGTTAGTTGTTTATTTCAAAAATTGTGAATGAACATGTTAAGAGTACATAACACCTTCATCCGCGTCGAAAAATTTGCTAAATCGCAAAAAATTGGTATTGTGTCAATAAGCCCAATTGCAATAAAGAAGAACAAGTATTTATGTCAAGAGAAAAACACCGAGAAACGAGTTAGAGAATTAGCAAGATTGGGAAAAATGAACACTGCTTTGGCCAGAGAATAGGTCAAGAATTAAGACCTGCAATGGTACTTTTTATGTCCACAAAAATTCATAATAAAATGAGACGCAAAACTTTCTTGGGAGAAGGGTAAGGAATAATGTGAGCAACGATCAAATTATTTGCAAGACTTTTATAGCATTCATTCATTCATTTTTTTTCATTCAAATGCAAAATTTGCAAAAGTAGCAAAATCAGCGTCAACACCAAATATAAACGGGCGATATAAAAATATAATGTAATGCCTTATGCATCATATTTCCACATTTTCTCCAGATTAGCTGTTTTTTTAACAATGCGACAATGTCAATGCTGGATTTCTGTTAATGAAGAATAACAGGCGAAGTGACCATTCTGATAACATTAATTGTTCATTACAGCCGCCCTTTAACAAACTATACCGTTGCCTGAAAGGACAGCATCAAAAGCTTTTTGTCTACCGCAGCTTTGGCTCTACAACCTAGGAATTCATGTTATTACCAGCGGCGAACAAAATACTTTCATACCTAATATCAGAATCTGCCATAACCTGGACTGAATGGGAAATTTGTGAAAGTTAAAAGCGGTCTATGTTATTTTTCTTCAATCGTAAGAAGTAGAAAGAAAGATACATCCTACTGCCCAGTCCCAGTGATATGTCACAATACAAACTTTAGCACTATTTCTGAAAAAAAATTCGTTAAGCGGAAAGATTGTAAAAAAAATATTAGTGTTGATCAATTTGGGGCTTACTGGTATACAGAAAATTATGATGGGAAAATTTGAACAAAATATTAATAAAATCGGAAGGGTTTCAAGATCTGCGAAGGTTACGCCTTTTGCCGATCCAAAACACAGTTGTTTTGTCACAAAAATATATTCGAGAAAATGTCTGGCCGGGGAAGACAAATCCCAAAAATTTCATATTTTAAAGGAAAAAAGACAATTCTTAGTGTACATTTTTAATAGATTAAAATAAAAAAAGTTGTCATGTATCAAAATTTTTAAATTTTGAGGTTTTTTGGGATAAAAAATTATATAACATATAAAAAAGTACATTATAAAAATAAAGTATTATCGAACAATTGGAAATGAAAAAAACAATTTGATCATCAAAGCCAGTGAATAAATGTTAATACAATTTTTCTCAACTTTTCGATAAAAAGGACCTTCAACTTGCTCTATTTTCAAATAGTTTCTTAATTTTTTTTGAAAGTTCCTTAAATAAATCATGCAATTCAGGGACCATTTTTTGCGCATTTAATAAAGACATAAATATATCTTAACTCAACCCCATCATTCATTGATATTTTTCCGTGGTTGTTCCGGAATGTTCATAGTGCAAAGCGGTCGCTATAAAAATAGAGTCATTTTGGTTCTCCTAATATGTTGTCAAAACGTTATTCAATATATTTTTGCATTTATTTATCATACACGATTATTAATATATACTTTATTTCGTTTCAGCTATGGTAGTTTTTAATTGGTGCATTCTACTATCAGTGCTAATTACTGTGTGGTGCTGTTACGATACAGCCGGCCGTTCCTGGGTGAAAATGAAGCAGTACCAACGATCTATGAGAGAGTCTGAATCGAAATTCCAATATAAACGTTCTGGGAGTACTAGAAATTGGAGGCAAAGGTATTTTTGGTTTATAAATGCTTGCTTTGTGTGTCAGGGTCTTTTAAAAGTTAGGATGGGCACATGTTTCAACTCTAATAAGATACATCTAGATGCAGCCAGCAGGTTGTAGCCAAATGAACTATATTCTAGTAAAAAAAAACACGATAATTTTCATATATACGATAGCTTATTTTGAAACTTTGCTATCATTATTTTTTGCCCCAAATCTGCTTAATAACTTCATGCAACATAACACAAATATGTAACCTTCTAAAATCTATTTAAAAATTTATTTGTGTCAATTGCAATCTGAACCAAGTCGGAATATGCCGCAAGCAGCTTTCTAGCTTCTCCTAACTCTTCCTGCCATTGTTAGTAAATTAAAACCTAATGGACAGAGAGACCGATTAGGTCGATAGCCTTTTTCTGTAGGAAATAAGGAGTATTTATTTATATATGAACATCTAAGGGTTAAATCGGCTCAATTTCCACTATTTTCCGTTGACTAATACATTGAATAGGGCTTACTATGAAAGGCATTTTTTTCCATTTGTAGTTTCTTTCAAACCAGCAATAGAGTATGCGAATACTGCGAAAATCACGCCTTATCCACTCTGGTACTGCAGCGTTGCGATGTGCCTTTTTTTGTCATATCGCGAATGTGAGTTTTGGTTTTCACTTGTAACGCCTATCTGTATTATATCGCTACCTAACACAGTAATATTACATTTAAAACTCGATTTACTAATGCAGATTTGTGCACACGACAACAACAGTCAATAACTCTCTTAATCCTAGATATTTGTATGTGTTTTATTTTGTTTTGTCATAACTGTTTATTTCACTAATATGGTATTTAGATGCTAATTGTTCGCCTAGTGAACCGTAATCACCTAACTTTTTGTTAGTATTAGCTATAAATTATACTTTTTTCTTAATTGCACAAGGCACTATAGAACACTAATTGTGGCCACTCTAGTAATGTACAGTTTAAGTACAAAGAGTTAACTAAATGTCTAAAAGTTAAACCTGAAAGATATCGGGTTTCATACATTTTAAGAGCTTTTCAGAGACGGGAGCACTGCCCAAATTATCTATCGATTATTATATCTATTTGTTTCAGTGATCGAATTAATATGATTATTTGTTTACTCTTACTCTTTTGTTAATCCGTAAGAAGTCTGAACTACCATAGAGTGAAAGATAAAAGGTGTCTGTTACATTGCTATGGAAAATACCATAGATGAAGAATAAATGTTCAAAGAAGCATGTCTGGTATCAATTTTAAAATTACGTTGAATTAATCATTGTAAGCGCGTCATTGAAAAAATTCGCAAACAAAACTCCTACTAAGAACCCTTATTTTCCTTAAAAAAATGTACAAACACAACCCTAATTATAGACGAATGTTGGCAACTGAACAACAAAAAGAACACAATACGTTAAAGTTGGTTTACGCGAAGATATAACGCCCTTCTCATGGATACAAACTTTTTGTTCCCGAATCGAAGATTGCGATCAGATATCAGTATATCCCACAAAACTACTATATTTTTCGAGACTCTTTTTTATTTTCATTTGTATGTAATCTGTAATAGAATTTTTAACATACATGATGCAGATACTCGGTATTTCAACTTATTATACAGTGTGTCCCATATCTACATGATCAAAATGGTACTGCGCCATTCTTTAGTTCAAAAGGGGAAGTTCAGATCTGGCATAGCTTTAATAAAAAAAAAAATGTATGCCTACGTTCCTCTACAAGTTAAAGTTTTTGTAATCTTATGAGAATGTTGTTAATAAAACTTGATGCGGATTTGTTCGGAATTAAAGCTCATTTTTGGGGAAGCTTCTGCGCTTATCCCCAATGGGCCAGTGGTAAATTTTTGACTGTCTTGGTACGGAAATAAAGCGAACCTTTGAAAATTTGTTGGCGTCAAATAATTATTTTTCCTTGTTGGTGCGTTGATCTTTTTACAGAACTTTCGTGCATTTTGTAAAATCCTGTATTCATAGATTCAAAACTTTGTTGCACTTTTTCCCCATTAAATAATTTTGGATGACGCGCAAAAATGTAAGCATAGACTCCAGAAAGAAATAATTCGCCGTTGAATATGGATTATAAACCACTGTTTCGCATAAATTTGAATTAGAAAAGATGTTCGATGCTCCATTCTTTGGGTTAGTCTAAAATGATTGACCGTTTCCAAATTGTATAGAATATTATCAACATCTTTTTAGTAACTCCACAGAAAATAACTCGCAGAGTTGCAGAGTTAGCAAACGATATTGAACATGATTTTAGCACCATCTAATATTCGAGTTTCTTAATGGGATTTGAACACTGGTATTTACTTAACATTTTTACAATAATTATTTGAAAAGCTTAGATCACTTTAATAGAAAACGCCCTGGAACATTTCCTTACCAAATACATAGTTGTTTCGAAAATAAGAAATGGTCTACTATTTTAGGGTTCTTATCAGAGCCGAAATTTTGAAAATATTTTTACCGAAATATTAATCGGGGAATGCTTAATGTGCACTTTATTGCCAAGCAATAACTATTCGGGCTTTCAACACCACTTTGAGGGACAAAATATTTCAAAGTTTTTATGCTAGTAAATGGTTTTTGGCGCTCTTTACATGTAATTATACATTTATTCACTCCATTTTAACATCCTTTCAATAAAAGCAGGAACCCAATTTTTAAGCCAAAGTTTTCGGGAAAATCTTTAGAAATAGGAAACTATGGGAGCGAAAATATATTAAAAACATCCGGCGTAACTCCGTTGTGAATACAAATGCTTTGAATATAAAAACTTCTTTAACAAAAAGAAATTTGTTCTGAATTTTTTAATCAACTTTCTTGAGCAGAGTTTCCTTTTCCGAGAGTTCAGCCTTTGTTAGTATCAACAAAGCGTAACAAATTTTAATATTTTCAGCATCCAGTGGATGTAATTGTAAGATCTAACTAATAACAATCTTATTGAAATACGCCACGCGTTTGGAAAGTAATTTTTCAAAAGCAAATCTTTAGAGGCATTTTTAGAACTGACTTCTTTGTCATGTTTAATTAACGTGTTTTAGCTAATTAAGTCAATTCTGCTCATATATTCTGGACCGTGAAAATATATTACGGAGTAGAGGTGTTTAATATTATATGAATATTTCTCTGTAGCTGTTCTATCATTACGTACTGGGAACCGTGTGCTGTTAGTGCCCTCCAATTGCTTGGATTTTGGGCTTTATTTATACCATCATAAATCTCATCAGTCTATCGAACTAATGAGCGCCCTTTGGACCTTCGTTTTTCAATTATTCTTGAAGTTCTGCAAATCAAATAGACCAGATTCTATTCTGGATGTTCAGTTCGCTAGGAATCGTCTCACTCATTATGTGCATTGTATGTGGGATTTGGGGGGGCAAAATTGTTTTTTCTAAATGTGGTGCTGCAATTTTCAATTCATCAATTTTCCTTCTGCCCGATGCTTTAACTGTGCGGAGTTCAGCTCCACAGCGAAAGATGGAAAATAATACCATCACACTATACTGTAGTATACTCATTACACTTTTGTCATTCCTGTTAGTCTTGGATGTTGCTCTCACTTGATCCCGTGTCACCAATATATGAGCCTAGATGGTCTACGATTTGAAATCTTCGTAGCGCATCATTAAACTGCCTTACAGGTTTAGTTAGGTTAGAGCTTTAAAACGATCAACTATCCTAATTTTGCATTTCACTTCATGTATTGCCAGGCCTCATCTATTGCTCCAAATGTCTCAAATCCGATTAGAAGGCGCCACATTTCCTCAACTAATGCTGCTATCAACGTTGTATCGTATGTGAAAGAGCTCTGGAGAAAGGATCTAAAGGATATTTCTGTATTATTTGAGCATGTTGTTTTTATAAAGTCTTCTAATGAGTGAAATCAGGTGTGCAGGTGTTCCCATCTCGCCATCATCCTTTTCGCGTATTTTCCAATCTAGTTAGTCAAAGGACTTTTGGTAATCAAAGAAATGACCATCGGAATAATTCTGAGCTGTGAGATCTGTAGATCCAGATGACCAGATTTTTAGCGGTCGCTTGATAATTCGAACCAGAATCTTAGACCGGTGTAATATCAACGAAATACTACCCTTCTTAGTGCACTGGAATAACCAAAGAGGTAAATTAGTCCTTAGCTCATTGACCTCACGTCTATATCACATTTGGTAAAAGTTCTCCCGTTAAACGGTTGCAGCCTGAAGAGTCGCTCATCTCTCTTATATCTCTGCTTGTATTACATTCGAGTTGTGCTCAATTTCGTTTATATCATATGTCTCCTGTTTTTGTGCCTTCGGTCCACCACTGCCCCGATATACCAAAAAAACAGTGCGGATTCAATTGTGTCAAACAAGTCTTGCGAAGAAACTGTATAAAAAGGTGTTCGATTTCATTTCGGTGCCTGTGTGTTTTCGCGATCTATGCGGGATTTTTTCTGAATATTTTAATGGAGATCTATTTGCAACATCGTCACAGAGTCCATTTATAGATTTTTTTTGCTTCATAACTTCCCAACTATCATCAACGTTTCGGACTTGCGACTATAAGTTTACTGGTCTTTGGCAGAAAATTCTCTGTGATATTCCTCTACCGTTATTCGACATTTTTATTCCAAATTTATTGGTTAATGTTGCGATGATTCTATCGTTGAAGGCGAAGGGATGATTCTTTTCAATTGTTCTATGAATCTGCTGTTTTTAGTGGAAGGTCTACATTATATTCTTAAAGCGAAGTATAAAAACTGTTACTAGCAGTGGGATGATCAATACTACAATCTGCTCCCGAAAAAGTATTAATGTCTGTTACAGAATATTTCCATCTTGTATTGATTATGAGACAATCTAATTGATTTCTGCATATGGCATCATGAGACGTTATATTATAAAAACAGCTTATTAGCTTGCATAGAGCGAACTGTAGCCAACAAGTTTAGTTATAATTGGACAAGGGTATTGAATAAAAAGTTAACAAACTGAGTAAGAATAATAGAAAACACACAAAACGTACTAAACTGAAACTTGTGTCAGCAGTTACAAGTTTAATAAAGTTCAGTTATGAATAAATCCATTTTTTGAAATAATTTTTGCTACCTAAATCACATTTATAGTAAAAAAAACCCCTTGCTATTCAAATAAGCACTATAGCAATTTTATCTGATTTACATATTTTCTTCGGATGGAGACTGGTTTTTTAAACTTACTGAACACGAATTTTCTTTCTTCCGCTAAAATAACGCCTACCACCAATAATAGAATATCGGATGGAAACAGTGTATTATTTAACATTTCAATCCGGATTCTCAATATCATGTGTCGAAATAAGGCCTAGAATAGAACAGTGGCAAGTCGTAGACCTTTAAGACTGTCGAAAGGTATTAACCTACTTAGACCCTAATAGAAATTTACCGAAAGGGAGCGCTTTATCTGATATCCGACACGGGTCATCCTACTTTTACTGGAAAATGATACTTTTTGGGACATTTTCCTATTAGTTTCCATCGATTTTACGACTAGCTTTTCCTAAGGTTTCCCTCGGCGGAAATGTAGCAGAAAGTAGGTTAATATTGGACGAATCCATTATTTTTTTCTGTGGAAAGTTTGACTAATGAAGTTATACGAAATAGACAAGGGGGCTTTATTGGCTTCTACAGCAATAGTATTCAGTTTCATTAAGTTATATACCGCATTGACAAGCATTTAGAAAAGCAATCAATTTGCACCAACACAGTTGTCTCACCCTGCAAAATATATTTTTAAATTTTTGAAGCATTAAATTATTAGATTAATTTTATCTCACAAGAGGCCCGAAGCGAAAGGCAAGGGACACTGTTGCGACCCTAAGCGAAGCGAAACACAGTCGAAAAAATTTGCCTATAACGCAATTGATTATTTTTTAATTGGTCGCAGTTAGTGAACAAACGGGATGGATACAGATGAGAAATATTTATTTTCTTTCTTTCCTATAATGTAAAGTAGCAAAGGAACGAAACATGTTTACATATGAATTTGTACAAAAGCGAAGACTCTTTAGCAAAGTTATCTCATTATTTTGGACGGCGATTAACGACGGAAACATTTTTTTGCTTCTTCTGGGCGAACTGTGAAAATGCTTTAGAGCATTTGAATATAATGAAGTCCGAAATAGTTAAACAAATCTGTCAATGTCCTCGATTTAAGCGAAGCTAATTGGCTTTGCTTCTCTTAAACTTTTTTATTATGCTCTAACTGTCTAGAGCTGCGGGGACTCGCAAATAATATTTTCTACGAACAATTCAAAAATATGCAGCGTTTCTCTTAGCGCCTTTTCTTTACTTCTTGTTGTTGTCATGTTCTTCGCTTCGCTTCGTTCGGGACACTGTAGTTTGCTGTAGTCTTTACAATTACCGACTTTAACTATCCAAACAGTTCAAGTGTACTTTTGACTTTCTGTTCTAGGAAAGTGTTGCGAGCCTATCAGGATAGTTGGCAAAATAGATGCCGCTTTCTGTTTTGCTGCTCCACTCCTTCAGACAGGAACCGAAACTCCTTTGCCGATATTGCTCGACTGCTATCCGATTTTTTTCGTGATTTAGATGTAGTACCGTCCGATGTTGTTGTCGGTTTGGTGTTGCTGAGAAAGTTCCAGAAAATTGAAAGAAAAGCCATTGTGGAACAGGTAATTTTGCACATGTTCCATTATTTAAACATGTTTTTATTAGTGAACATGTTTAAGACATCAAGTCGTATATTCACGTGGTTTAAATGGGTTTCCAACGTTAAAAATAATATTAATTACGTAATAAACATTAAAGGCTCCATAGGCATTTGCAACTCAGTTAATTTTCAGTCACTAACTTGGTAAACCGTTATTCATAACGAATGTGGTGGCATTTTTTAAGTGCCAAAATAAAATTTCGAGTAAAAGGGGTAAAACGTTGCTCCTAAAAAATGTGCAGACCTTTTTTTGTGAGGTGTTAAACTTCCAGACCCGAGGCTCGCAAAGCTTCAATCCGCCCCTGGGTTATTGCTCTGAGAAAAACTGAGAAACGAAAAATACCCTACAAGTTCAGAGTTGTGTGTTCAGTAGAGAAGAGTGTGTTCTAAATGTCGTCAAAATTTCTGCAAACCTTCAAAAATTATTTCAAGTCACATAAAATCCTAAATTTTGAGCGCTCCGTAATTGTTGCTTCACAAAATAATGCTAAGCTTACCAAAATCTGCGTAGTGCCACCTGGAAGGAAAGCAGGAAATGTGTTTACGACAGAAGAAATTCTGTCCAAAACCAAACTTATTAGAAATCAGAAAAGCAAAGAGAGAGAAATGTAGAGAATCCACAAAAATTCAGTTGCTTGTAGCAAAACTAAACTCAATTGAAGCTCAAACATTTATAGATTAGAGATCAGCCTAACCATCTTTTTGCAAGCTGGCGCCCTATCCTCCATTTTCTACCCTTCAATACTCAAAAAGTGAAATTGTAGTTCACACCACACACAACGCAAAATAGAAAACTTGTATAAGCATTCGCTCGTGCTCCCTTTGGATGATGCTTTAGGCAGTAAACCTACTTGGTAGTTCAATTTCAGTTTGTTTATTGTTGACCTTTTTGTACAGAGTGAATCTTCTCATGGCAATATTTTCAGACAAATTTCACGTTACAACTTAACGAATGTTAACAACCACTAAACGAAAAACGCTCAAAACGCCGATATTTTAGTTATTTAATTTTAGATTTAGAGCCATTTATATGTCTGAATTTTCAGCTGCAGTGATTAATGCACAACGCCAAAACTAAAATTAATTTCTGAATTAATTTTGGTTTTCTAAAATTATCGACTAAACACAAAACACCGCTAAAAAATCACTGAAAAATGAAACTGTTGCTCAACTGCCGAGCGAAGATAGAAACCAACAAAAAATATCCTTTAAAAGTTCGGATTTCATGAATTATTAAAAATTTACGTTGGAGCTTAATTTTATTATCTTCTAGTTATGATAATCTGCGCTTTTTTGTAATATATTATTTGCAATCTCCTCTGGCTTATTGCGTTATCTGCTAGCCCCAGATCTCACTCTCACGCCTTAAGTAGTATAAATGTGCATATCGCCTATTATTTCAAGTTTGAAAATTTCTTGAGACGTAACCAAGAGCTCAATTGGAACGAAATTCCCTCTATAACAAGCTGTTTGCCTGGCAGAGAAAACTTTATCTATTCATGTGACGATTTTCAATTTTTCCATCTTTTCTTGAATATTTGGCCATTTTTGTAAAACACAGTATGTGATAAATAGTCAAGACTTTTTAAAGCCTTAGGTAATTGGTGCGCCAACGCAACGCACCGGCGAAAGTGCGGCGCAGTGAGACGCGATAAGTTGTAACTCATTGCCGCACAGAGGTGCAACAACTCAAAACCCCAACTCGACACAGTGTTACTCATGCCTAGTTAACAGTATCATTTCTGGGTGACTTTATGGACCTTTGCGACTCGTGGTCATTAATTTAGAGTGCTTATTAAATGGGTTATCTGACATTTACATTACTGCGTTCTATTAAGCCGTATGGACATTATTATTGTAACGTTTGATGGTTTTCCTACATGGGGCGGCACAAACGTAATTGTTATCTGCAGCGCAAGTTTTAATAATTCACAGTAGAAGTGTTCTTCTATTCTGTGTTAAATGTGGTGGCCAATTTTGATGCATGATCTATCAATTCGAACGGTTTGAGAAAGTAACTTTACTTTCATTACTTATTTTTGCAAATAATTTGCAGATGCTAGAGGGCAACAAAATTGTCAATATTTTGTAACGGTTTGGTGATAAAGATCATATATTTTATGAACAATTCATTCTATATTGCAACCCTTTCATCGCTATTTATCCAAACTAAAAAAACTATCTAGGCCATATGGGGGCTCTATAAAAGGTCTCTAAAAATTGCACGTGGTGCAACTAGAATAAATCTGCACCAGCTGATTCCGTTTTGATTAATCAAATTCTTCTTTTAAGGACCAACACAGTTTTCAAAAAATGAGTTATTATAAATAGATAATTCCCACTTATTTAATTTGATTCAATATAGTAAATATCTAAAATCGCCTCGAGTTTCCACCTCACATGCACCAAGTCTGGAATAAATACTATCTGGTGCATTACGACATGTTTGACTTTCTCCATTTTTGGATCAATTTTGATGCAACGTTTCATTTTTTATTTTGACGCAGCCCCAGAAAAGAAGACGGTGCTGTAAACTGGGCCAAGTATCTACGATTATTTAAACCGTAAAGTGATACGTAACCGTAACGCTATGAAACTTTTTTAATAATAAATTGTTTCAAACATATTGTTTGATGGCGTAGATCCTTCGGGAAAATAGGGGCTCATTTGGATGTTGACTATAATGAGAGGAAATCCCTTTGACTGTTGACTATAATGAGAGGGTATCGCTGATCACTAAGATTTTTGAGAAAGAAATGTTTCCAGAAACTACAGACATTCGCAGAAGCGATTCCTTAGTTCAACTTCGAATAATATCAACATATCATGACAATCAATACTAGAAATCAATGCAAAAAGAATGGGTCTTTAGCCTCACGCACTAAAACCCCCCAAAAACGTCTTTCAAAAGTAATTTGATAAGGTTCAACACTCAAAACTCCTAGAGACATTAAAGAGAAAAAACATCGATAGCAAAGATAAGAATAATACCCAATCTTTATTGGCACCCAACGAGTCAAAGTCGGAGAAGGTCGGAGTGAGGAGATTAAAATATGTCGAGGTGTTAGACAGGGATGTGTATTGTCGCCTCTCTTGTTCAATGTGTATAGTGAGGTCATCTTTGAAGAAGCGCTGTCAGGAGGTAAATAATTAACAACTTGCGATACGCAGACGATACCGTTATTGTCGCCGACAGTCTGAAAGACCTACAACATCTGTTTGAATTAACAAAAATTTTCTGAAAGAGATATGGCCTAGATATAAACCCAAAGAAAAACAAAGTCAAGGCAACTTTAAAAAACCAAAACACAAACCATAATAGACCATCTATACATATTAATAACGACAACCTGGAATGGGTATTCGTCTACAAATATCTTGGCACATGGATAACTGAAACAGCAGAACACACAAAATGAATCAAGTGTCGAATTGAAGTAACTCGCAGCGCTTTCATAAAAACATAAAAACAAACAAAATACTCTGCAGCCGAGATATAACATTAGAATTGAGAACCAGAATGCTAAAATGCTATATAATCTCCATTCTATTGTATGGAATGGAGACTTGGACACTTAAATCAGAAAACATCAAGAACATGGAAGCATTTGAAATGTGTTGTTAAAGGAGGATTCTGAGAATACCATGGAGTTGCCAAGGTTTCGAATGAGAAAATACTACGTCAAATGAATAAAGTTAAAGAAATTAGTAACACTATAAAAAATCTAAAACTAGAATATCTAGGGCATGTTCTGAGAGGAGATATATACAACATCCATTAGCTAATTATTCAAGGTAAAATCAAAGGCAGAAGAACGATTGACAGAAGAAGAATCTCTTGGCTGCGCAAGTTGAGGGAAGTGGTTTGGTTGCACATTCGCAAAACTCTTCAGGCGGGCGATTAATAGGGTCCAGGTAGTGGTGGTGATGTCCAATCTCCGATAGGAGCGGAATTTAGAAAAAAAAACAGAATACTGCAGCCCGTTCTTTAATTCTACTGTGGTAAATCCTGAAGATTAAAGAGCAGATCCAGATTTTTTTACCATCGAATATCGTTTTTCAAAACGTTAGTATATGATGTAGGATAGGATGAATAGGATAGAAAGAAAAAAATGAGGCCGAAGTAGTGAGATTGTAAATTCTTCATCTCTTTTGAGTTACTTTGGAACTGGTACATAACAGCGCCTCTATTCAGGCAAATTTTCTTTTTTATTGCTTACAACTGTTTTAGCTATAGCCAAATGGGAGCTTGTTAGTTTTTCATTTGCAGTGAGACTAGTGAGGACTAAAAGTAAGAACGTTGCTTGTTATTCTAGGGTTTTCTGTCTGACAGTTGTAACTCTCTTATCAAGGGCAACAAGAAACAACAAAAAAACGGCGCTGAAATCAGTAGCTGGAAACAAACCATTGATGATATCACAAGAAGTTTAACAGTAACTTTAGTTAGCGTTTCAATTTCAGCGTTTTTACAAAAATTTGTTTAAAAAAATGCTATGAGTTTTATGCTGTACTTACAGCTAATCCTGTGTTTTGTTGAAGTCCATTAAAAAGACAAGTATTGTTTTGTCTGGCGGACTGAATCAATCAGTGTCTCGATCTACAGCATTTTGCGATAAAAGCCGACATTATCTTCCAGTTGAATCGCTCGTTTGTTCGAGGGCTAGACATTTCAGACTGCATATCAGGGAACCATATCCTGAACTTGTACGATGGTGGAAAAAGTGTATTGAAATAACATTTGAACATTTTATATATGCTTCATTCGGAGCATTAATGTTTCAACATTTCTTCTTGAATCGTTAGAAAATGCTAATTGAAGTGTAGCTGCATTAAAAAAACTGTTAGTTGTTGACACATTGTGTTTTTATTCAAATTTTATCAAGCGTCTCGCTAGTTTGCATTTTATGCTTTAGGATACTTTATATGAATTTCTAACTTCTACATTCAATAAAAATTACTTTATTATTAAAAATGAACAGTTTTGGTGCTCACTGGGTGTATTATTAAGAGAGCACGCACGATATGTTTTTTAAAATCAATCACTCCAAAAATTCTCATTAAAAATAAAACTAATTTTTGGAATTTAACTATAACATTCATCGGAATCCGTCGCATCCTCCCCAAACGTATTTAAAATTTAACAAAATTTTATGAAGTTAAAATTAAGAAATAAAGTCCACTCTGATTATCTTCGAGTCCATTTTGTTAAGTAAAAGTAAATCAAGGTCGGTTATAAAGCCACACTTAAATATTTAAGGTTTATTATGTCCATTTTGGCAAGAAACAATGCATACATCTACCTTTACACATTTTTTACATAAAATAATAATAGTCAATGCTATTGCCTTTGAAATTGCTTTAATCGCCAAATTCGGGAAATTTAGACAAAAGTTACCTCGAATTAAAATTGATAAAATGCTGCAAATAAACATTTTACGCCGTACCATTAAATGTATAAGGGTTTGAGGTTCGATAATACAGGCTAATAATCCTATGAGGAAGGTATTTTCAATTTTTGTCTGGGCTTTCTATGGGCGAATTATATTTTTCACTTATTTCCAATAGTTCTTCAATTGTGACAGAGGAGCAAGAGCAATAAAATAAGAACATTTTGACGCTAACCTCAGACCGCCTGGTTTGGCTTGCCAACCTGAAGATATCTTCTATGGCTTTTAGCTTCTGAACCTATAGTTCAAATTAGGCCTGGATAACTGAGTGAATTTTTATGAGTTGGCGCAGTGCTGCGCAAATTTTTATTTGTTTTAAAATTTATCTTCAGGACCATTTATTAATAATATTTTTGAAATTTCTTCAAAATTTCAGAACTCCAGTTTTAACCAAGTTACTCTTTCTTCTAAATGCTCAATTTTCTTAAGTTAAAATTATTTATAAAAAGATAAAAAAAACAAAAATTTATAAAAATATATTATTAAAAGCTTCACTTAAAATTGCTAACAATCTTAAGGTATTTTTCGTGAAAAATTCTGAAATAAATTTCGAATCCTTCGTCGCTTTGTAAAAAATTTTGAAATCCCTTTCCCGCGTCAAATTTTGTACAAGAATCGAATAATTTTCTATCAAAACACGAACAGAATCAGCGAAAGTCTATAATAAATTATTTGGAAATCTCGTCACCTCCATTCCTCTGACTGTAGAGATTGTTAAAAAAATGTGGCTTTTTAGTTTTCACTGAAAAACGCTCTATTTTGTAGAGTTTTGCTTTAAAATACTGACGATCTGGAGGCCTTTTTTACACGAAAAATTACAAGGTAAATTTAGAGCTTTGTAAAAATTTCACAAAAACTATTTTCAACGTCGTATTCGGGACAAACACGGAAATAAATTCCTCCAGTTTTTCTCCGAAAACCATTAGGGTTTTCTCCAAAACCGATTACAAAACTAAAAGTTTTTAACCGAAAACGCAAAAAAGCAACATTATTTTCTGACAGTAATACGGTCTTTTCAGCAAAATAAAATTATTTTGCTTTTAATCAATTTTAAATTTTCAATAAGAAAATTTGCTTTATTCACCGGTTTGCAGGAAACCTTAGAAAATCCCTTTCAGCTGCGCATTTAGCACAAAAACCAAATAATTTTATTCAGTTGTTTTTCAGAAGTTTACAAAAAATTATTTGGAAAATTCGCCGCCCTCACCGCTCTGGAGATTTTTATAGTTCCTTTCAATATTCAGATCATTCCAGTTTTAACCAAGGGTCTATTAAGCAATTCTTTCTACGCAAAAATTGCATCAGTTTTACTTAAAATACTGACAATCTTCAGGTGTTTTCTGTGAAAAATTATAAGATACATTTTAGTGGAACACTCGCCTTCTTAACCGCTTTGCAAAAATTTTTGGAAAACTTTTTTCAGCTTTGAATTAAGGACAAAACATTAATAATTATTTTTGGGTCTTTTTCCAAAAATAGTTCCCCGCACTGAAAAAGCGAAAGTTTATAATCATTTATTTGGAGAACTCTTAGAAACAGGGGTTTTTTCAGTTTTGCGTCAATATTTATAAACAACACTGTCTCTATACAGAAAAAAACGCGTTTTTCTTAACGGTTTACTGTAAAATACTGGAAAACTGAATCTTTAATGGAAAAAATTAAGAGATCGATTTTACAGGAAAACTCTCCGACTTTCTTTGGACTCAGTTCTGTTGCTGAGAAAATCTAGATGACTTTTTTAGTTGCTTGAATAAAGTAGTAAAATGTTACTCAAAAAAATTCTGATGACCGTTTTTTAGATAAAATGATTTATAACTCCTTAACCGATGAGTTAACTCAGAGAGCGGCGAGAACTCAATAGCGCACCTCAACACAGTGTTACTCAGGTCTAGTTCCGATGCGGGTTACAACTTCACTTTGTCAATCAGTCACTTTGTTCTGCAGCTACTTATTATTGACACGAGAAAATTACATTCTCTTCTTGTTGTTGTAATTTTCAGCTTTTTACGCATTAGTTCTGTTAGATGCTTTCTGTGGAATTAAGGGAACTTTCAGGCTAATCATAATTCCGTTTAGCTTTTTGTTTCAGAAATTGCTTTAGCTTGATATGTTCCTGACCTACCGCTCGGTAAGTCTGCCCCGAGGTTAATCTGGTCCTGCTCTTTTTGTTAATTCTCATTAATGACTCTCACCTTAATTTGATTGCTGATCAATTGAATTGGGCGAAAATATTTGATTTCCACTTTGATGATGATGATTTAACTTCCATATATAAAGTCGTCTAGGTGGAAGCGCTGTAAGGTATATTCTTAGATTTAAGAGCTTACTTTAGGCACTAATTAGAAATTTACGCATTAGTAAAATGGCTAAAAAGTCTGTTTTTCTTTCAGCGCAAAAACGATACATATGAATTTTTGAGCGGAGTGGCTGTTACCCCTAGAACCCAATTTCTGTCCCTACATGAAGATGGAGCCGATTTGAACCTATTCCAAACCGTCATCCACTACGCTCATTTTGCTGTTTTAGCTTATGGCTGGCCCATATTCGTTATGATGAACAAAACTGGAGTTTGTCGTCTCTGCACTGGTGAATTTAGATAATGATTTTAAGTGAATGAACTTAATTATAAACGGTTTTGATTCTAGGTCTTCATTGTTGTTGCATTCCATGTCGAAAGCATAGCGAAACTGATCCAGAGATCGTCGACGATAATTGTTGTCAGTGCAATTACTCGGTGCTTAAAAAGCTAAGCGATCTGGGTGATATTGATGTTATATACGCTACTTATCATGTGGATGTTGGTGAAACTCCGTTTTTCGTTGCCTTAGATTATGATAGGAAGAAAATTGTCATTAGTATTAGAGGAACGTTGTCTATGAAGGTGCTAACAGCAAATTCTCTAAATTTGCAAACAAAATATCAGGCGTAACGTTTGCAGGATATTCTAACGGACCTAAATGCAGAGAGTGAAACGATACCTTTAAATCCACCAAGAGAAGACTGGACAGGTCATAAGGGCATGGTACAAGCAGCCCATTATATTTTGGAGAAAATCGAGCAAGAGCAACTGATAGAAAGAGCGAGAGCTAGAAAACCTGAACGGGGGACTAAAGATTTCGAAATTGTTATTGTTGGACATTCTTTAGGAGCAGGTAAACAAATTTTTATTACATTTATCATATTCGTAAAAGCAAGTAAACAAATAGAGTTCAATATTTGTTCATTTTCTATTGTAATAATAATCATAATCATAATAAGCAATGCATGTTTTGAAATAACGGCAAAATATCCAACACTGAAATAATAAAATAGAATTTTCACAAACACATAAACATCGAAAGAAAGCACACATGAAATAACACACTTTTAATTGAAAGAATTAAACTGCTTTTACAAATAAAAGAATGGAAAATATAAAAATGATGAGAAAAAAGTGCACGAAATGTTTTTTAATGAAATGAATTAAATTCAAGAAAGATGATCAAAATATTCACAACAGGAAAGTCGCTACTCATAATGCAAATCTACTCGGGCAAGAATTTGTCCGGTAGGCAAAATCTGACGAGCTATACTAGATCATGTGGTCCTCCGAAACCTTACAAGACTAAATCATAATTAAAATAAACTTCTAATAAACGTTAATTCTTTATGTATTTTTAAACAGATGAATTTTACATTGCTTGCAATCTTTTTGGTCAACTGTTAAGTCTTACTAGCAGTGTCAGCAATTGTTATGAAATAGTGAGAATTGTGTTATAAATGTGATGCTAAATTGATTCAAGACCAAAAGAATTACCGAATAACAAAAGTTTCTAACCGTTTACAAATTATAACCAGTTATATATTTGTAAACGGTTTATAGAAATACCAAACGAAACGTTTTTTATTAGAACTGTATAGGATTTTAATATTCATTTAAACTTTGCTTTTATTAGACTCATTAATGTTTTGTAATATATTCTACTTATGTAAAATGGACATTCTCATTTTTTTTCAATTTTAGTGGGAAAAAACACTAATGAGAAGTAATTATTTCATTCATTTTCATTTCATTCATGAAACAAATATTCCGCTACTCGATAGCTTAAAAGTTTGGATACAAATACATACCAAAAATGTACTTTCATAATATTTCTTAATAGCAAATAGAAAAATGTGCAAAGTAACGTAAGAACTATTGTTAGAGTTAGGCTTTCGTGGTCTTTGCTTGAAGCGTGTGAGTTTGGCGGGCTTTGTGGTAGTTCTGTAAAATAATTACACTGGATATAAGCTTTGTTAAATGCGCAATAAACTCTCCCAGGCTTAAAAACTGTGAAAAGAGATAAAGCTTTAAAAAATTGAATATTTCCAGTTGAAAATAAGGCAACGATTGAACTCTAGCATCTTAATTGGGCATCATTTTTCAAAGTTCTGCTAGATTAAGAATTACGTGCGTTTATTAGTACTAAGTTTTAAAATTATAATGTTTTTCTTGACCCATTAAATCTCGAAATACAACAAATTTTTAAAAATGATGATTTATCTAGTCGAAAATATGTATGTATATGCTGTAGATATAGCATAGCAGTTTTGATAAGTTCGGGAATCTTTTTTTTGCGAAAAATATTGCAGCCTCGGCCCCCAAAATTCACTGATTTGTAAGCTAGAAGACTAAATTTAATACTTCATTTAGAAACAGTTAGCGAACAAAACAGAAAGCTACAAATAAATTTTATTTTTCGCAATCACAGTCGGAATCCGCTAATATTTTCAGCAAATTGTTAAGCAAAATCAGGAAATTCCTCCGTGTAATCTCACAACCCTGAAGCTTGTTGATTTTACTCTTTTTTGCATAATTTGGAAGTTATAGTAGAATAAATTCAAAATATTTCCCATAATGTTACACTAGTAAAATAAAATAATTATTTTACAATGACTTTACTCATGTGACAACATAATATTGTAGACTATTAAAGATGTTTTTAAAAAGTAACGAATTTTCACACATTGAAAGTGCAGAAAAACTAAAAAGTTAATGTTAAAGCAATGTTCTCGTCGTATTGTATTTCTTATGGAAAACAATGTTGGTTGTGAGGACCGATACATTAGTACCTAATCGCATTATTATACATATTATAATCACGTTCCGAGCAGTTGAAAAAAAAATACTTATATTCCGTGCATTTTTACTATTTGATAAATGAAACTTTGTTGGTGATGAGCGCCAAAAAAGGGTTGGTTGCTTCTTTGAAGGCTTACGTTGCATGATGTGTGCCCAGATAAATATTTTTGTAAAATAAATGTGCTTAAAAACATAATTTTTTTGCAAAAATTTTTATTATTTTGGAAGGTGCGATTTTCAGGATTGCAAATATAGAAAGCTTATATAATACATTATACATGGCATAAATATGTCATAATTTATTAAGTGCGCCGCTTTTCCTTAATTCATTGAAACCGGCTCGCATTTTTATATGAAACTATTTTCGGTTTTTCTCAATATTTCCAGGCACAGCAAGCATATTGGGCATCCTCATGCGACAAATCTACCCAACTCTGCAATGTTTCTGCTACTCTCCGCCGGGTGGATTATTATCGGCTCCAGCTGTTGAATATACCAAAGAATTTACAGTGTCTGTAGTTATAGGAAAAGACGTCGTGCCTAGAATAGGGTTGCATCAAATGGAAACACTGAGAACAGATCTGATTAATGCGATCAAAAGAAGTGTGGATCCCAAGGTAAGTTCCTAAAAACGCGAAACGGTTTCCATATTAAAATTAATTTTTATTTATATTTTTATTGTTTTATTATAATAACTGCCCTAGATAGGGACAATTACACATGAGAATTACAAAATTCAATTAAAGTATATGCCTCTGGTTCCATTAAGACCTTGTTATAACTACTACAAGAAATTCTACGAAAATTCGATTTTAGGAACTCAAATGACATACTTTTGAGAAAAAGTCACTCTCTGCAAATAAAGTAAGAAGTAAATTAAACCGATGTTTGCTAGTGACCTCGCTTCTGAAAAATATCGGTAGTAAAATGCGTAAAGTTACTATTTTTTGGTTTTCTGTCGTCGGTTATTGAACAACGCCGGTCATGGGTAAGCCCAACCAAGTGGCAAAATGCTGAAGTTATCCTACTTTATAAGAAAGAAGGCAGAAACATTATTATTATTATCGCATCTGCATAAGCAGCTAACGAAAATAATAACGGCTCGGTTGACTACCAGGATCGAGTCGTTTCAGTACCATCTGCAGACCGCCTGCAGACAATGCGTACTTTTATTCGAAAAAATACTTGGTAAAATGTACCACTGCATTTGACTTTTGTATACGATAAGAAGGCCATTGATTGAGAAGAAGACTTGACCAACTACATACATTCAGAAAAAATGTTAACCATTCTATGCAAAACAATGTCCAGCCTAAGATTTGCTGGCGATACCACCCTCATAGCGGCAACGGAAGGAGAAATGATAGAACTTGTTAGACGAGAAGTTAAAGGTCAACAAAGTCCAGATCAAATTAATGATAGTCGATAGATTTAACACCGTTCAATTGACCGATCTTAGACAGCTTTAACTACCTAGGCTCCACCATAACTAATAATGGAAACTGCGAGGCAAAAGTTTGAAGACGCATTGGGATGGCAAAGAGGGCCATGAGTAGCGGTGTTCACGACGAATGTTGCGAATATCTGAGAGCTCGTCGCACAAATGTTTCTATTTTGAATGAGCTCAGGATAGAAGCCAGATTATCGTTAATATGTATGCAGTTTTTGGACGTGGCGCGCAGAAGTGAGGCTAACCTAGAGAGGCTGATCATCTCTAGAAATGTTCGTGGAAAAAGGGCAAGAGGTAGATGGCCAACGAGATGGTTAGATCAACTTCAACAAAACACCGGTTGCTCATTTTGTCAAGCATTTTGAGATGCAGAGCACAGAACAAAATGGAAACAGCTGGTCGAACAAACTGGGATAAATCACGATTCTCAGTGGAGGGGCCGACGAGAGAGATACTAGAAAAAAACCTGTCATGACAAACTCTTTCATAGCGGAGTGCGAAGCTTAGTCCTCAGATACATAAATCTAATGACAACCATCATGTTGTACATGGTCCCCCTGTATAAGCGACTTCCCAGATTTTATGAGGACTTGGTCGTTGACAGTACGTACGTCCCAAAATACGAAGAAATGCTCTTCTGCTGGCCCAAAAACACTTATGAAAGAGTTTTCGATTTGGCTTCATGAAGACCTTGTTTCTTCAAGAAAACTTAAAGTACTTTAAGAATCATCTGTACCAGACTACCAGGCAAAACACAAGTTTGTCAAATCGTTGCTTTTAGTGCTACAGCCCTCGGTGCATTTGTTGAGATTGTTCTGTGTGTCGAACCACTTTTGTTATTGTTGTTATGATAATCAATATTTCCTTTGTCCTTCTAAGAGCATTTTCACGTAAAATTCCAAATTGCAACAATATATTTGTTTTTTGCTTTATCTACACACTGTATATTAATGAACTTTCAGTGGAAAACAATAACGTGCAGTATAATATGTTGCGGCTGTTCTCAACCGACTTCTGCAGTGGAGATGTCCACTGGAGAAACAGAAGTGTCGGAGTACATGCGAAGTAAACACAACGCCAGATGTATGGGTATTCATCCTTCGGACAGTTCCATTGCTTTAACGAGCCATCAGCCTCTCTATCCTCCTGGTAGAATTATACATGTGGTGCGACATCATCCGACCAGTGGCCAGTAAGTTCAACATTTGGTTAATCTAACACGCTTTAATCATGTTTGCTAATACAGAATGCTTCTGCTTAGCAGGAGCATAATGGCACTTTTTCTTAGACAGTTACTTTTTTAGTTTAGCAATAATTAGATAAAGATCTGTTGAAAATTGAAATTCGAATTTGTAAGCTAATTGTTTAAAAAATATAAGTAATAATTTCAAACAACCGTCAGTACATTAGATAATTAAAAGCAATTGCCCATGGCTAAACCAAAAAAAAGCTCTATCAACTATTCCAAAAATGTACAGGGTTTTCCATTAGAAATTAGAAAACTTTTTATTTTTTGTTAACTTTTCACAGTTTACAACTTTTTCATTTAGCGGTTTTGCGTACCTCTTATAATAAACTTTCCAGAAGTTATATAAATGTACAGAGTGGTCAAAATTGGTCGCTTTTATGGGTTCCTTCTTAAAACATAGCAAGAAATTCACGAATCCGCTTTTGGAACAGCGTTCTGAGCTCGATTTTTCAGAAAACAAAAATGCAGTTTTTTATTTCCCTGTTGTTAGTATTCGTTCGTTCATTACCAAGTTGGTCACAACCTGGTCTTACTAAAGTTAATTTTTAAACCTGCTGTTTCCGAAGCACCATTTAACCGCCTGACCATCTCTCTCGCCTCGTCAATTCTGTCTGCAACCAACACAATATCGTCCGCAAATCTTAGGTGGTTCAGTCCCATGTCTTCTAAATCGATCTTTTTAATCATGTATTCTTCTGTTGTTTAAGATAATTGTCTGTTATTCGTTTTAATGTTTTTTAAAATATTTTTGCGGTCTTGCTCAGAAGTTTCTGTTGACTTTAATGGTTTTTCGTTGAAGTATCTATGTATTTCTTCCGTTGATTTATTTCAGTTCAATTCAAATTCATTTAATACTTTAATTAATTTCGGGAACTGCTAAAAACACTAATGGTTCTGGTTAATCTGGAGAAGGACAGGGTTATCTAATAGCGTCAAAATGTACAGGGTGTTCGATTTAAAAATCACAAGTTTGCCTTCTGACTCTCTTGAAACATCTCGAAAATGTTTCGACTTATATAACTTATACAGTACATATGATTATGTATTAATTTAATTAATTTCCAATAACAAAAGCTTAAAAATAAAGTCGAAATCAGCAATTTTCGGTTGTACACAGTATCTCATAAGCAAATTAGCAAAAGATAAATTGAAATGTGCTATTTCATCTTTTCGTAAAAGTCGGGCTCTTAACCCCATGCCGTTTTCTTGAATTTCTTGCTACGGGTTCCGAAATCATCCATAAGAACGACCAATTTTGCCCATCCTGCACCTATTATTTCCGAAACTGTCCAACATTAAATGCTCGGCCGTAATACAGACTGATATAAGTTAGCTAGTTGCTTAATACGAACCGAAAAGTTTTGTACTACTCTCTTTTCGACATTGTATGCTAATACACCATTTTTTTAACGCGTTATCAATAGTTAGTTTAATAAGTATCCCGTTTAGCAACGTGATAACATTGTTAGGTACTAATTGGCTAGCTTTGGTTTGCTACATATGCATGTATGTGGGCATTGGAACTATCAAGCAATTCACTTCCCGATCGAAAATCACTAATATCTTTTTCTTACATTTGCAGACAAAAGTATGAAAAAAGATGGAGGTAAAATTAAAGTCAATATACTTCAGTGACCCAGTAAATGCATGAAAGTAACATGTGAAACCACTTTTCCCGAAAATGTTGCCAACTGTTTTGTTCAGGAAGCAAATATCGCTTAGTATATTTTGAGTATCTTGGAGCTTTTTATTTGTGCTTACATGTCCATGAACAAAGCAGTCGGCAGTTCTCAGAAAAATACATGAACTACCATGCATGATTTAATCAATATACAGTGAGCGGCTGAAATATATTCAATCATAAATTTATTTAAAGAGTCCTTGCTTAGTTTAAGCAGAATTGATCTGCTCTTCGAAATTTGTTTTCAGTTGCATAGTTTTTTAAACGAGCATTGATGTACTACTCTTTTATGTCTTAAATATTTCCTTACTTATGTGTTACATAAAACGCTCAAATGGCGATCAATTAGTTGCATACCTGACTCATAAGCCAATAAAGTGACAACAAAAAAATGATCAGAACGAATTAAATAATATTCAAAATAATCTCTTGACATTTTTGGTCGCTTGTGTATGGCGATCAATTTTAAACTATGTGTAAGCATTAAAATATAATCGGCAAGTCTAAGGCCCATTTTCATCAAGCGATCTTAAACCAGTTTAACGTCTGAAACTCAGTTTGACGCGCGAAACGGATTTCACCAGAACCTTAAACTTAGTTTGTGCTTAAACTTTAAAGTTTAAAGACTTGATCTAACCTCACTGTGTAAAGAATTGTTGTTGTTGCTGTCGGTCGACCGAAAAATAATAATAGAACTGGCACGTAGGCCAGTTTATAACTTAATTTTCGAAGAAGTCTACGAATATTTTATTGTTACTTATGTACTTTGTCTGTCCTGTCTGTAATTGTGTCGCCGATAAGCCAACTTCTTGGTGCTTTGCGGTTTTATGTCACAGAATGCATGCAAATTTTTGCTGGATATTTTAAGGGTTTCAGCACAACTACAATACCTCCAATTTTACATAGGGTGAGCTCCGCGATAGAGCTGGTTTTCTAGCGTTCTGGGTTTTGTGAGATTCCAGCCAAGCTGTTTACCCATCAAAATCCTTCCTGACTCCTCCGCTTGCCTTGTTTATTCAATGAATTTTATAAGGATCTGAAAGGGCGTCCTCAGGACTTAATTTTCTATTTGTTTAAGTAACTTTTTAAATAGAAAATGTAATAAAAACGTGTATACCAGTCATAAGCCATACACGAATGCACAAACCTTGCATAAACAAAGCAAACTTTAAAATTTTGCGGTTAGTTCGAGCAGAAAGTTTGGGTTTGATAACGGGTTATTGACGTCATGGAGCCAAATGGTTCCTTGATAAGATGATTTTGCGATGAGAATCGTAATATTTCTCACTTTTGCAACGATGTCAGTGTTTCCAGTTTCTCAAACTGCGTTTCAATAAACGCAGTTTGTGAAACGTACCGAAGCGCTGGTGAAAACGGTCCGCCGTTAAACGCGTTTAATTTCGGCGTTTAACATAAACTTAGTTTCGTCAAACTGCGTTTCCCCTGTTTCTGATGAAAATGGGCCTAAGCGATTGTCCGAAACCAAACACGTGGTTTTTAAGTAAATTAATTTATACATTTGCCGTTCACTGTACCTGTCCATGATTTAGTATAAAGTGAAATGCCAATATGTGAAAGCCCTTAGATTTGTTATACTTTTGTTGTCAGTGTTGGTGTGTAGTTTACAACAGGTCTAGAAAAACTTCTGTTAGTATTGTTCGCCTCTTAATTAGAAAGCAATTCGGGAACAAAACCTGAATAGCAGCAAATTGTCTTTGTTTGCAAGTACGGAATATATCCGATTAATATTTGAAGAAAATACCGAAACTCGAAGTTGTTATTTATTTTGATGGCTAAAAGTAATAGTGATGACTCGTTTGCATGTACTCAATTCGAATTTTTTCATCGGACCTCATTTTAACGTACGGGCCGGGTCCATTATAGGGCTTTTTTCATCAATATTATATCATATTATTCGGAAACAAATAGTAATTTTTTATACGTTTAATGGCAAATTAATGGAGTATTATATAGAGTTTTATGAAACTATATTTTTAGATTAAATGTTAGAGTACTGATGAATGTGTATTTAACGTTTGTACTTCCGCCCAACTTCCCAATTATTTTGAAGCAAACTCCGTTCGTCATCATTAATCATTGTCCGTTTCGCCAGTTATTCAATGTTCGCCTTAACAAAATTCATTTATATGATACTCATTGAGTTTCATTTAATACAAATTTTGAAATTTGTTGAAAAACGTAGTATTTTCTATAAAAACTGCATCTCGGAAAATAGCAAACGGTTGAAAACTTGGAAGTTATGATAATTTGAGGGTTGAAAAACCGATTTTCCGAACAAAATACTTTGAATTTTTACCTCGATTAACGCATTTTCAAAATAGAACGTGAGATGGTTTCACAGATTCACCGTCTATCAACAAATTTGCATTTGCAACAGTTTAGAAGGAAATAAGGTCTGAATATCGGCAAGGATAAAACTCTCAAACTTGCATATACTTCCACTCTTTACCCTGTAACTCGGTCAATTATGAACGTTTTTCAGAAATGCAAAAAGTTTTAAAAGCACATACACTTGGCGTAAAAAGTGGCGCACCAAGATTTTTTAACCCCAAAATGTATTTTTAGAAGCAACCCAATTAAAATTAAAACTTTTTCTTAAGAAAATCTTAAAAATTCGAATTTTCTGAAAATCGCAAATGTGCAAATTTTTCACTTATTTTCGAATTTCGACCAAAATTCCACTTTTAATCAACAGGGTTTTCGTATACAGTTTCGGAGAAAATGGAATTTTAGTTAGACACGTAAAATGCCACCCACATTATTTGCAGACTTGTTTTCCTATAACTCCTGAACTGTTGGTAATATTTCAAGACGAAAAAATGCGGTCGCATTTGCCATGAGTGTTCGCTAGAGTTCGGCTGTCTTGAACAAAATCGACATTGGCAATGGTTTGGGAAATAATGAACCCTGAATGTTAACAACCGTTCAATTGTGCCATTTGCGCATAACTCCACTCTTTTGCCCTTAACTTCGTTAAATCTCAAGATATTTCAAAGTTCCAAAAGCCCCCAAAACGCACAAAGAAGTAGCTGTAAAATATTCCTGCCTCAAATTGGATAGCGGCAATAGCAAGGGAGTAAAACGAGTTCAATCCCAGAGAGTGTGCAATCTTGTGAAAAAAACAAAAATTTTAAATTAATATATATACAGTGAAAGCGGACAGTCACGGTTCCACAAAAAATGTCCGGTTATGGGAGGTGTCCGCATAATAGAGATATGTATTTAATTAAAAAGAAATATT